AATCGTACTCGTGAATCCATTTTCAATGAGCCACTCAAGTTTGGGCTTCAAGTTGGTCTCTGCTCTGCATTAGAGAACACTGGGGTTCTTTTTAATCAAATTTTTTATGTGGGTTTCATTAAAGCCGTAAGCTTTCAACAAGTTGAGAAGGGATGCAGATTTTTTATCTCCATTTTCGTCGATTTGGGGATTTTTGGATGTTGATGACGCCGATTCTAAAGAATAACCAGACGATTGAATTGTGAACAGTGGAGTTAATATTGTTGATGTCATGCAGTAACCTTTTTGTATTGAAGAAAGCAGACTACTTCTGAGGATTTTGGCCATGTTGATGTTGGACAAAAACTCACAGTTGAGGTCTTGGTTTTGGTTTTGGTTTTGGTATTGCTAGGGTTTTCAATGGGTGTGGATTTTTTTTTTAATGGACTTAACGCTTCTGTAAAAGTTGGACTTATTTGAGAACCTTGATGAATTTGGGACCTTAATTGTGAATTGAGTGAAACTTTGAGACCTTATTAATGTATTATTATAAAATTTTCAGATTCATTCAGCTAATTATCTGCATCTTATTATTTATAATCGAACATCTTGCTGGCCACAGGTGGGAGACGCCATTGATGAGAGTGGACATCACCGGCGCCGAAGTCGGAACCCTTCCTCTTCCCATTCTTATTCATTCACAGGAACAGGAGGTTTTCGTCCTCGCCAATTCTCTTCTCATCCGACCAAATCCTCGAACTTTGTTTCGAGCACTTCAGCCAGCAGTCATAACAATTCAAGGGATCTCAAGCAAATCCCTAACTGGAAACACAGAAGAAATAGTAGCCAATAAGAGAAGGGAGAAGAAGGAGGGACTGATGATCCCTTTGTTCCTGTAATTGGAGCTTGCCCTTTCATGTGTCCAGGTGAATTTGCGTACTTGGCTTGTCTTAACTGCAAATTCATCTCCTTTAATTGTGTCTTTTCCTTGAAGTCCCTACTTTGAAGCCTTTCTATAATTCTATTAAGATCAGCAGATATGGTTTCTGGGTCCTAGTGTTAAATTATATGCCTCTTTTGGATGTTCTTAGATGGCGTTCTACATTTTTAATGTATTTAAGCCATGAGAATAGCCAAGAAGAATTGATTTGCTTTATTTGC